CCTGTATGTACGGCATACTTGGACAATAAATTTGACTTTGATTGTTTTCTGTACTTTTGCTACAAGCACTGCTACATGAATCACTAATATAATAATAACTTGATAAAAAAACTGAAGCTAAATTAGTTAAATTAGACCTTTGCCTGATTCAATGCTAATATACATTTGTAGTCTGTGTTTACACAACTATTAAGGTCACCAGTAATATTTACCACTACATCTCAGTTCATTTTAAATTTGCCCTTGCTGCTGGAAAACCACGGATGGGGGTTTGAGGTTTGAGCTGCACTGCATAGACGACTGGATTATAGTTACGATGATAAGAATTATGACTTGTTTGGATTCCACCAGTGATGGTTCTCCACTCGCCTCCCCTCCCCTCTCCTCTTTGCTAGTGAGGATGTAGATTTATGGATGAACAAGGCAGGAAAGGGAAAGGATTTAGTAAAGGTCTAAGAGGAGAAGGAATAAAAGGTGTGAAATTGGAGATGAGATTTTATAGCACTGCTGTAAACTTTCTTTGTGACATGAATGCACTGTTATATTGTCAGTGACGTGGACTGGAAACCTGGGAAAACCAACTCTGAAATGCAACCCCAGTTTGGAGACAAGACATCTGTGATTGCTCAAACAAAAGCTGATTTAAATTGCGTATTAAGATGTCATCCACTTCAGCTTTCCATTCCTTTCCATCTATCTTCTGCTTCACATTACCAGCGCTTGCTCTCCAAGTGGGCCAAATCCTCTTAATCCCAGAAGATGCTTCTAGAATAAAGGTTTGATTGTCTTGTTAATGACCAATCTGGCTTCAGTCAACTTTTTTCTGTCTTGCAAAAACCTTGGTCACTCGTGTCCTCTGCATCTGTCTATGATCCATCAAGCACAGACGCATACTTGTGAGAACTTGTTGATTGCCTTGGTATGAAGTAATACTACACTGGACTCCAGACAAGATATTAGCCCTGAACATCCACCCAGTCAACCAGGGTGTCAGAATGTTTTCCTACTACAGGACAAATGTTACACTCTAAAAACAGGTAGGTATGGGGGCCCGTGTAGATTGTAGTCATATATCAACCAACCCTGATAGACAGTTAAAAAGCAAATTTCAAGGGTGCACTTTATAAGAATTTTCTCTGGAGGTAATCTTGTGTAATTCAACCTTTTCAGGTTTCATCATTAACTATTTGACCTTCAGAGAAGGAATGAGCAACAGGTTGGTAAAGTTGTGTCACTGTGGTGGTACATCCATCAATGACTCAACATGTCAACGGTCTGAATACTCTAAAACATCTTTTTTGTCGAGGTAAGTACTAAGTGATAATGACATGTAACTTTATAACAAAATGCTCACTATTGCTTTTTGTTTTTTAAATGAATAAACCTTTAGTAAACTGTATAACTTTGTCATCTCGGCACAGACGTCGAGGGGTTTGATTCCAGTCACGTGTCAAATCTCATCTGAGCAAGACCTATCAGCTCCTGTTTTAATCACATCCAGGCGTAGGAAAGTCTGCAAAGCCTTGGTAAGTGAGGAGGGTTTTATCAGGATGATCTAGATCATAACAACGTACGCCAAGTCACATTTGTGGTTTGTTCACTTAGGTGAAACCTGAAGAAGCGAGCAGCTGAAAGCAATGATCAGTTAACATTATTTGAAGAAGATGCAATCTATTCCAGGCTTAAAAAGTTACCCATGCTATTTTGCTCAACTTGTGCTGAGCAGGGCGGTCAGCAGTTTCATAATATCTTATGTTGTTTGGTTTCTATGTGCACTTGTTGCTTGCCAGCAAATCAAGCAGCCTACGACACCTACTTGAGTCCATCTTAGTGTGAGAGTGATTTCAGTGAATTGGACTACACCCTTCTCAAACACTGCAGCGCTACATCTTGTTATTTTCAAAAGCAGATTAATTCATCAAACGAGAACAAACAGCTGTTGTGGAAACACCGGCTGTCTGACCGTTGTGCCGCAACATCCCCCTCCAACAGACACCGTCTCCTTCATGGACGGACGAGGCCACACCCAATCACCCCTGCACTTGAGGTCTATTTGAGTGGCTGTTTATGGAGATGTCCCCAAGGATTTCTTGTCTCAGCATCGCAGTATACATTGAGAGCAAGAAGGCAAAAGAGGAAGTCATATGAGCTGACTGAACGGGGAACGGAGAAAAGGGGGGTCCAAAGCTGGGAAAATGTGACTGGGTTCAAGAGATGTATAAACAATTTGGGATGTGAGGAAACACATGAGCAAGAGGAGTCTAGGAGGGACAGTAATGTGGTGTTGAGAACACGATACCGTATGTGTGATGTCAGGACACTGAATCAGAGACATGTTGATACACTGCAATGCAGGGATGGCATCACTGCATGAGTAAGGATAGAGGAGAAAGGGTAAATCTATCAAATGTAGGTCATTCTCCACATGAACTTGCAGCAGTGGTGGTCAAACTTTTTATACTCTGTACCACCTGAGAAAACATTGAGCTCTCTGAGTACCACCATGATGACCAACATTAGAATACAGCAGCAGAGGCCTTCACTATTAGCTTCCACCACACAGGAGAGATGTTTAGAAATGTTTAGAAAGATGTTTATGTTTAATTGTGCATGGTATGTTTCAGATTTATTTAGTTGAAAATGTAAATGTGAAAATGTGAATGTTCCTCACGTACCACTAGAGAGCGCTTGTGTGAGAACCACTCAACTAAATCATTCATCTTTTAAATGTGGACATTTAGGAAACTAGGAGATTTATTTATGATTCTGTTCAGTTAAGACAGTAGTTAATTAAAGGAGGTGCACTTTTACCATTAAATGTTGAGAATTTCTGTTTGGTAAACGGTAAAGTTAGCCAAGCCTTTACAGCAGCCATTCTAACTCACATGAATGCTGCAAATTTGAAACGAACTGAAGGAAAAATATTATAATATCTTTTTGGAATCATGGATAAAGCATTTCAGGCTCTGGATACATCCACCCATCTCTGTAACAGTTTTGGGGCTGCATTTAAATCATCTGAAATTAGCTCAACGAAAGCTTTAAGGAAGACAACAAGCAGGAAAAATTCAATAGAAGGCTACCTCAGTCAAAAACAAACACTTTTTTCAAAACCAAGACAAAAAATATTCGACATTATAGCCAACTGGACAGAACGTTAGCAGAGCTTTTACACCAATAGCACAATTGAAAACATTGTCTCCTGCTTTCCACTGAACAAAGCTCTTAAACTGTGTTCCTCTAGTTCCATGTTTCAAACAACAAAAATGATGTATTTCTCATATGGTAACATCTGCCTTTACCGAGATGTTGAAACACCTCCAAACTGCTAACATTCTGCTAATTGGCTCACCACAACTTGGAGAATAGGTATTGGTGCATCCTTAGATATAATTGTAAATTTTAAAATATATTGGAGGATTATTCTAGTTTTTTTTTTTTTTTGTTACAAATAATGGTATTTTAAAAATTGTCAATAGAAGACAGATGCCAGAGGAAAAGACAGTGTCACTGAATGAAGGAGGCAATCAGGGTCAGATAGATTAGGTGTCTGAGGTTCAGAGATATGGCACAAAATAGTTACACCTGACTTGGCAGAGGCTGCAACAACAAATCATCCAGTTCATCACCCTGCTTTTATCTCCTATCCCTCCTTCCTCCCTCCTGCCTTCCTCCCTCCCCTCCTCTCCTCATACATGCATTTATATCCCAGCTTTCAGGCGACCTACTGATTTACAACACATTCAGGACGCTGTTGACAAAGGCATCAAGGAATATTTTAGGTTTCGTGACTGATGAAAAACATTATGACATACGATGTAGCCTATGTGTAGAGTTTAATGTCTCATATTACAGTGCTGTAACCTGTCAGGCTCTGGGTTTGAAATGCAATACCATGTATACACTATAACACGTTTTTGCTGCACTGATAAAACATGATAAGTGCAGTTTGCCAGTTTACGAAGCAGTGACAGGTTTAAGTATCTGTCATGAAAGATGATATTTACTGTCATTTAAGACCCTGTTATAATCTTTAATTTGATTTAACTTGCCCAGTTTAGAGTCATTTACAACAACAACAAAAAAATCACACACCTATTTTAGTGAACATTATATTAAGTTTAAAAGTTAACTGCCATGATCCAATAAAAAATTATCTCATGCAGTATGTGAAAGTAATTTATTTTTAATTTAATATCTTAATTTAAAAAAAAAGACTTTTCCCATTTAACCAGTCCTGCATAGACACCTCTATGGCCTCACCACAACACACAAGACCATGTGACTGATTACAGCATCCATTATCACTGTCACTGCAGACTGCACATCCCAGCATTTTCAATACTTTGCACTCATTCTACATTCATCATAGTAATACTGAAGTCAGGTGAACAATGAATCAACCACGTTATTCGTTGCCACTTACGGAGCTATCGGTCGATATTGACTGCTAAAATGAAGAAGTTAAACTGAGAACTGAAGCAAGATTTATATGGTGTGAGATTTGGCTGCATGTGCTGCTGAGTGAGATGAGTCTTTCCAACAGATTGTCCCTAACAATGTCCCTGTGTAGTTGAAGGAGATTGTTAGTGAGACAGAAGGCAACACAGGGAGTGTTGAGGTGAGATTATGAGCACACAAGCTATGTACTCTGAAAACCATTTATCAAGTTTATCCAGTACAGTTGTCTTGGTTCATTTATAATGTCAGTGTGTTATTTCTAAACCTACAGTGGAAACCCATCGTTGTATCTCGATGCACTGGTGCCTTTACTTCTTATTTTAAATGTCTATCCAAACACTGTTATTCACTATATATATTTCAAAGTAAATCTGGTGAGACAACATTATAAATAGCATTTACCAGCTGTTTAAAAGTTCATTTAAATGTGCACAGTAACATTTGTTTTGGTATTTAATAATGTTCTTTTGAAATGTATTCCACGTCTCTTTTAGATCAGCACGCATTCTTCTATAATCCTACAGGTAGGACCATCTTACCTGGCTTCTGGGGCTCAGGCATGGCTTTGTTTGTTTATAGCGATCCCTCCAAAACCCTCTTCCTGCCTTTTTGTCCGTGGATCTGCCTGTATTACTTCCTTCACCCTTTTATCACCTCTAAACCTCGTACGCCCACCCCATCTCTGTCTCTCATACACACGCACACACACAGACACACACACACACAATCTGTACTCCTGACAGCCATTTTATCCTCCCTCCCCAGAAGTGGAACAAGGAAGGGGTAGAGTGACAGTCACTTGAAACCTTGGCAGGAACTACAGAGCTTTGAGGAGTAGACAGAAGAAACCACGAGGGGTGAAAGTATTTTAGAAGCATAAAAAAAAAAATTAAACTTGCCAGCTGTTCATCTCATGCAGGACTTGGAAAAGGACCTTTAAAAATGACTGATGCTTATCAGCTCTGAAGGATGGTTTAACTAAGTAATGTTAAGTGGCCAGTTCGTATTAAGATCATTTAAGGCCAAGGACACATGATAGAAGATGAGAACAACTCCAGATGAGAGCAACTCCAAACTCCAGAAAAGCTGATGCATTTAAAAACAAACAAACAAAGACTGTGCAGTATGTTCTTATTGCTGAATCTTCTATTGGATAAACATGAACTTAGTTTAACTTGGTTTTCATTTATCCAACTTTGCTGTCTGTGTACATGTACATTAATGGGACTTTTTAACAGTTCTGACTCTTGCGGCACATATCAGGTGACGTCACCTGATATGTGCCGCAAGAGTCAGAACTGTTAAACAGTCCCATTATGTGTGCCAAAGAATCAGGCAGGCATGAATGGAGACTGTTTAACAGTTATAATGAACTAGCTATTTTAAACAGGTGACATAGAATATGTCTAGTTCTATTCGAGTTCCTTGAATATGTACTAGCAGGAATTGAAGAAAGACTCACAAAAATATTCTTTAACAGCTCTGAGTATCTTTTTTCAGTTTTTATAGTCATCTGCTGCAACCTAGTGGAAAAGTATTTTATTTTTCTTCCTGTCACTGTTGCAAAAACAGAGACAAATTATTGTAAATAAATAAATACTGCTTTTCAGACCAATTTAGTAAAAGTGGATATTTTGCTACAGAACACCTCATAATATCTTAGGGCTTAGTGGGCCCTGGTGCCTCGACCCAGTAGTTGAGCATCGCTCTCTTATGGTAATCACATTGTCATTGTGGCTGGTCACAGACTTAATTGCTTGATAAGACATTTCTTGTGATAAATCTACAATCTCTCATTATGACAAGGTCTTATAATGTTTGTGGCAACATTGGCCACAAACTACTGGAACCTTCCCAAGTGCTGATACCAAAACTGTCATCATGGCAGATTTTATGAGACTGAAAGTGCCACAGGGATGTGAGTAACAAGGTCAAAGACTGTGGAAACAGCTTATTTATCCAGAACAACAATATGATTCTCAAGACAAATGCAAACAAATAGTCAATAATATTGTCATTTATTATGGTTTTAATGTACTTTGTTAGGTATCGTTTTGCATGTCAAATTATCCAGGCCTCCAGAAACATTCATACAAACAATGTTTGTGAATCTGATTTGAATGTGAGACACAAAAACAAAAACAGAAAAGCAGGTGAAGTTTGAGATTTGGATTTCTCCAGGAGAACCAAATGCCTTCAATGATGGTTATAGAAGAATCCTTAAATAGTCTACTCCAGAGTATAGTCTAGCTGTACATTTCTTGGCTTTAGAATCTTTTTGATGCATTCCTATCATCAGAAATGATTTATACTGTGACTAATCTCTTTGAACAGGTTGAATTTTTTCACGTACGGCTGATTTAAAATGGCAATGGGAGATTTAAGTGTCCTACATGATCCAGTGAGTCACTGTAGTGGATAAGACCAGGGTTATTTAACACTTACTTTACTTAAGCCTCGCTGAGGTGAACGCTGAGCCAACTGAAGCAGGTCTTCTCCATTTTATAGCCACTTTCCCATGGTTGGTAGCAGCTGAAGCTGTCAGAGGGCAGTGCTGAGCATCAGAACACAATTATTTTCTAAAACTGAACTGCAATGACAGCTTGAAGTTATCTAAAAACATTTATTGTCTTTTTTTTATTAAAAGCTCGTAAATATTTTTAAAAATGGATTCACTTTGAAAATATAACTTTTCATTTTAACCTGTGTTAGTTCTAGTTTTTTAGTAAACCATAGTGTTAATTTAAGAAGTAATAATATTTAATCATGAGAGTTGATCATAGTGAGATGATACATTAGACTGAATGTTTTGGGGTTTTTTTAAACCAGATGACCAAAAGTTGGCATCATCTACTGTTGTATTCATAGACCTAAAACTATGAATGTATACCATAAATAATTTAAGAAAATGTGTTGATGTTATAAATCAAGTGAGAAGTAGCTTCATTTTTCCAGAAAGTTCCATTCTTGTGTACTTGAGGAACCGGTAGAGCTATTTCCCATCAACATCGGCGGCTGCAACCATAATTTACTACCAGACAGCTACGTCTATTTCTTATATATAATCTATGTTTCCCTTCACACATTGAATACATAAATATTTGAGTCACAGGAACTTTGTACCAAAAGATATATATTTGATGTCAATGTGGTGGAAGCACATTATTAGGTTATTATCAGGGTCTGCCAATGTCTGTAAATTGTTGAAAAAATGAAAATGAAAAAAAAAAAAAAACATTGTAGCATGAGCTTTTTTCCTGTAAACAATATGTTTTGTCTTAAAAGAAAACCTTTGTCATGGATTATCCTGAGCTCGTGAAGGCATCATTTGCCATTTTGCTCCAAACTTGTAACATGCTTCATCATATTCTCTTAACTTTCTTTGTCATTTTTCATGATGCTCCAGTTTTAACAACATACAGAAAAACAGAACATGACAGTGTCTTTATTCAAAACATAAATCCTGTCAAATTGTTCACTTGGATATATGTGCCTTCATATTTTAGTAAAAATAGTAATGTGATGCCATTGTTTAGTGTGGTGACAAAGAGTAATGGCCTGTTCTATCAAGGGGAAATAGAAACTGGTGGAAAAGTGAATAGTTTCTCACAGGCAGGGACATAAGGGAATCACCTGCTTCTCTTACCATATGCTCAGTGTAAAAGTCTCCCCAAACTGAGTCAGACTGTTTGTGATAACAATGTGCCGCAAGCCCATTACATACTTCATGATCCAACAATAATATGTTGCATTGTAGGAGAAATCATTCTCAGATTTAATATTTTGGTGTGTGAATAATTCTGATAATCTATAAATTTAATGTCAGTGTCTAAAATATCAAGTGCGGAATTTCTACTTTGAGCTTTTAATGAACTACTCAATGCTGCTGTTTATTTTATGGAGGCTCTAGGAGGTTTCATATGAGGGAACAGACACTTATACATTTTATTTTATTTAGTTGACAGGTTTTATATGTCTTTACTTAGTGGTAGTTTGGTTTTAATGCATCAGGGAGTTGTAGGTGAATGAATGAATCTACTTTTAGGAGATACATGAAGTTTTCAGAAAATAGACCTGCATATGTGTTGGATTTTGCTCTTAGGTCTCCTCCATTTACTGGAAGTTGAGATCCCCTGTGGATGGGTTCCAAAACAAAGACAGAGTTAGGCATGTAGCTGGAATTCTGACTTTTTCATCATAGTCCTGTCAACTTAATTGAGCCATTAGGAACAAACAGCTTTGTACAAGGTTGGTACAAATGCGATCATTGTAAAACTTTGTCGTTTTTACCTACAATGATTGAGTGAAATGTGGTTGGTTGGTTGGTTGGTTTTAAAGAAAAGACACATCCAATGGTAATAATGAGTTGTCTTTGAGTATGTCAAATCATTTTTTGAAATACCTGGACGGAAAATAGACAAAATAAATTAAAACATATATATATATATATATATATATATACATATTTAGCTCTGAAACATTATCTCCGAATTCTGTCCTTCAGCAATGTGATTGCCAGAGATTGATGCATTTCTCTCCTTTCCACAGAAGCTGTGTTGCATGTCAGCAGAACTTTTCAGCCAGAAATAAGAATTTAAAAATTACTTACATCAATCACCTGTGGCAGGAACCTGAAGCAGCCTCTGTCTTTTTTCTGGGTTAGGGACGCTTTGAGTTAAGGGATATTCTTGTCACAATGTGAATTATTGTAATAAAATACAATCTGACCATTGGTTTCCTGTTGGATGGTTTTCACAGCGTTGTTGTCTAAATGACAAACCTGATGACAACAACTTCAACAGATGTGGTCCACACTGTAGACTACAGTACGCAAACTACTTTGCGTTGTACTTTCTTACTAATATCCCTCAGTGAGTCTATGAGCAGGGAGGACAAAAAATGCAACACAAATATTTTGTGTGGTGTCTACTTGATCCTTTAATATTAGGTTAAATAACAAAGAAAATACTTTTGCCTTTTTCAAATTTAAGTTTATTTGTTAAACAAGTGCAATTGACATAGAGGAATGTATATGACTGGTTGACATTCTTTTTTCTATTTTACTTCTGAATTTTAAACACAAATCCCTTTTTTATTAAGCCACATTTTTTAATTTTTGCAGTAAGTCATTGTCTGTATGAAAGTCCAGTTTTAGTAAAACACGAACCTTACACGTATGTCCATGTATGTCTCTCTAAAATTCTAACATCAGCCTTTGACTCTAAAATGTTCCACCTAATGTTGATCCTTACAGCCTAATACAGGCTTTTTGTTGAAAATCCAGTTTTCCTCAAGCAGCACTCCACTTGCATTGTAAAATCATGATTATCATGATTAAAATCATGATTATTTTATTTCTGGGTTCTATTTCATGTGGTAGTTACTGTAAGTGCTACAAAGACCAAAAACCTGCTGGGACTAGACTTCAGTGTCATTGCTCTGCCCCTGCTTGCATGCAACTTTAAAGCCTTTAAGGGACAGCAAATTAATCTGTGCCAAACTTAGAGTCAAGTAGCATCAAGCAGCCCCTCGGAATCCTCTTCTGCAGTTTTACACCGTGCACTTATCACGACAACGACGTGGTTCTGGACTACTCACATATAAAAGAAAAATAGCAATGGATTGAAACCTGATGACAGGAGCTAATTGGGGACACATTTAATTATTATCATTATGACACTTCATCCTAGTCAACCTAGTCAATAAAACTGCATCAATAAAAGTAAGGCAAATGATGTATGTGCTGAGATCAGGGTGAAGCTCAAGTTTCACCTCATAAGGATGTATAGAAATAGATGATAGATGTAAGAGGATGACCTGTATTCTTCACTGACTCCAAATGCTTAATGTTTAATTGCTCAGATTGCACTTGGAGCTGTTTCAGAGGGGAGGAAGGTGAAATTGAGGGAACAGATAAATTCTGATCTGTTAGCAGCCTCTGTTGGCCTTTCACGTGTAAGTGCACAGCGAACGTGTGCTGTGCTGACTTGAAGAGCATAAAACTTTTTATTTAATTTATGAAATGTAATGTATGTAATGTTATGTAAGAGCCAAATTATTGTGTTTATTTGCTTGTTTTCCCACAGGTCAAAAACACAAGTACCTATTTTACAGTATATGTTTATTTTAAATACTCAGTGTGTTCTTAATAAGACCTAAATCAAAAATGAATGATCATTAATATTTCTGCAGATAAAAACAAATATACATGTACCTTAATTTTACTAATAAGCGGCATTAATTTTCAGCTAATTGATTTGTTGGTTTCCGTCAGCAGACAAAGAAAATTATATTAACTCTGACATACACCGAGGATAATAACATCACATATCCAAATACAATGTGCCAGATAGAGACATTTTAAATACTGGAAGTATCAGCAACTTAAAAGCCAAAAAGAAAATGTCAATGATACGAGTATTATTACTACAGTAGAAGATAATTTAATCAAGGTATCTAACACACGCTAAAGCTTGAAAATTTCCATTCAAGATTAGCTTTGTTTTTAAGAGACACATTTATGATTTTAAAAAAGACCCATATTGAGACTTTTGTTATGAAGTTTACCGGAAATGCTAATGTTGTGGTATACACGTCTTCCGGTAACTATCGCTATCAAAAATGGACGCTCCAATATTTCAATTGAAATTTCTAGTTGTTTTTATTGTTTCGTTCATCGTCTTCGTCAATTTTGTATACTGTAATAATGGCGGAAGGGTAAGTCTGTATTTTAATATGCAAATGTTACATTTAAAATACAGTTTTACAGATCCTACCTCTGATTAACATTAGCTCAGCGTGACCGGCTAATGGCTAACGACAAATGTTTTACTTTTCTTCTCAGCATGGTGATTCCTTGGACACTGAGTTGAGTGGTTTCTCTGTGCCTCTCGAACACTCGTTCGAAGTTGGTGAGAATATTTTCTCGTGGTCTTATTTTCAGGGCGACATAAATTCAATGCTATTGCTAACACCACCAGCTGACCAAGCTATGCTTCCCCTATGCAGCCACCTTCAAACCAAATCTAATAGACACATCCGTCCACTTTTATAATTTAACCTATTTATGTTCCACGAAGATGGTGTGCTTTTAGAACTATTGCAGTTGCGACTGTATGTATATTTGATATCTTATAGCCTAGAAGAATTATAGTAAAAATAATAATTTAATCCATCTAGTCCCGTTTCAACATACCAAGGACATTTATGATATTTAGCATAGTAATCGTCTTACTGATTTTTTTTTCTTTTTACAATTTAGCTAAATACGTAAATAATATGTTTTCAGTCATATTTTTACTGTATTCTCTCCACCATGTAACAGACGATGTTGCAAAGTTCAGTGTACGTGGAGCACTTGTGTTAAAAGGTGGACGGGAGCCCACAGTCTCGCTGAGTCAGAATCAACTGTCAGAGGAAGACAGAATCAAACTGAAGGTGAATCTTTCTTGAGTTCTCAATATAGACATTGTGTAACTGCTTATGTGCTAAACCATGCCCTCATAATGCTGTTGACTGAAAATAAGAACTGGATATGTCCATTTAACTTTGACCCAAAGTGGTTCTGGTTGCTAAAAGAACATTTAGGATGACTGATTTATGACATCAATAAACATTGATTTGACATTGTTCTCAGTCATTAAGTATAATGTTTTTTATTGTAGAAGACAATGTACTTTTGTAGATCAACAATAAATTGCAGCAGGACATCACACATAAAGCAGCAGAAGCCTGGGTACATAACTATTCTTAATGTCAATGGTAGGTCAGTTGTATAAACTATCTATTATATAAATATTTGAAGTATTAAGTCAAGTGTGCAGTACTGGATATAATAAAGCATGTTTAACTGTAGCACTATAGCATATCAAATATTTTCTGTTTTTCTCTACTGGTGATTTGGGAATCCTTAACGATGGTTGGGTTAGAAAAAAGTTGTACATTTACTGACCGGCTTGGAGTTTAGTCATTTGTTTTCCTTTCCTCCATTTAACAGGAAGTGGCTGCAGTGGATGGTCTCTACAGAATCAGAGTCCCTCGTGTTTTTCTCCAGGGAGACAGACAGACAGAGCAGCAGATGGAGGGATATCTCACATCATTTGTCAGAGCTGTATGTGATATTTCCAAAGAATATTTACTTTTAAAGGTTGATTGTTGCTTTCTCAAGGTACTGTGGGGTAAAGTAGATTCCTTTTTACCTACTAAATATCATTGTTTAAATACCATAAGTTGCAAGGGTCTCAATAATGTACAGTAATGATACATACACACATGTACAGATACATACAATCACAGTACCTAGTTAATATAGTAGAATGTAATATTACAGAGTAATATTAACCTGTATTCTCCTGATTTCCAGTGTGCCATGGTGGAGTCTCATCTGAGTGATGCAATCACTCTCACCACTGATGTCTCTGGGTATCTCATCGGCATCTCAATTGTGACGTTACCTGGGGCCTGCAGAGGCACTGAGGTCGAAGATGAGGTTGATCTTGAGGTTTTCAACACAACACTCCGGGTCATGGCTCCTGTTAATGCACCAGGGTCAGTCCTTAGCTGTTTGTGTAGCAGGGACTTTGCTGTGTAAAATTAAATGTGCTTTGTTATTCTCTATAAATCTTAGCTGCACATTGTTTGCCTTAAGCAGCACATCAGTCTGCAGTTTTTCTCTTTTTGGTGGTTTTGTTTTGATACCTAATTAGCATCTTTTATTCAGGCCTGAAACGGCTCTGTTTCTTGAACGGATGGAACAGGAATTGGAGAAGAAAGCCAAGAATCCACAAGAACAGAAATCTTTCTTTGCTAAATATGTAAGTACTTGTTCTCAAACCTGCTCAGAAGGCCTCAAATCTTGGCCAGAGACTCCCTTTCTATCTTTATTCCCAGGCAGACCCAAATAAAGTATTTTAACTGTAAATTCTTAAACAGTGACCATATGCTGTATGTACTGCACACACACCAGACTCTGTAGTCGTTGGTTATTATTGTGGTAAGAAAGCCTATCTACTACTTACTTAAAATCTATTTGTTGGTTTGCTTATAATGGTCTATTATCCAACTAGAGCCACCTTAAACTGTGTCCAGGTCGCTACCCTAGTCCAGAAGTTATTCACATGTTTAAAACAGACAAACCTTAATCCAGGTTTGATCCTCCCTCAGACACATGAATCAGTTGAAGAATCAAAGATTGCACCCAAACACTGAGGTAGTTTCTTGTTGTGCTGCTGGTGAGCAGCCACAAAATTCTACATGGGCCTGTGGCCTCAGTGTGCTCTTACATTTCCTTTGTATGCTGCATGTTAACAGCCTCTAAGTCAGTCTCGGTTGAAATCTTTTGCTTTTGTTGTGTTTAGTGCATTTCCTGTGACTTGCCAAATTGTGGTAATGCACCTTTCCAAATTGTGGTCCAAGGTCATGTTTCCTCTTGTTAAACTGTTACTTTCATAATCATAAAGAGCCATCCCTTAATGTAATTATGTTTCTTTGTTGTATTCCTGAAAATAATTGCAGCTACACATTAGATTAGTTTCAAGTCAAAGTTTTTTTTTCATATTGTTCCCACAGAGAGGTCCTTCCTGTTTTCATTCCCTGTGGTGTCTATTTGTTACCAGTTTAGTGACATGCGTTGACTCTGGTACATCAGGTAACACTGTGCTGTGCTGTGTTGCAGTGGTATTTGATTCTTGGAGGTGCAATCTTCCTCATGGTCACCAATTCGGCACAGCCCCCAGCAGGGGGAGGCAGAGAGCAGAGCTGATTCCCACTGAAGTACTGTTTTTTTTTCTCGTGGCTCCTTCTCTCCCCTCATCTTCTCTGTTAAATAACGGAATTAAAAATGACCAGACTAACTGAAAACCTTCCCCTATTTTTATATTTGATTTATGTACTCCGTTTTAACCCTTTGTTTCCTCCAGGTTTAATGCCAAATACATCTTTGGGTGATTTTTTAGAACTCTCGGTTCTTGAATTCATGGTTCTTGGTGTGTGGTGTGGAGACTTCAGGCAAAACTTTCAAGAAAACCTTGATTCTAAATGTTTTTTATCAAAATATAGTATGTGTTTGGTGTCTGGCCTTGAGATCTCTTCTTTATTTTACGGTTTACCTGACTTACTTTTACACCTTTTTCTCTTTAGTTCAGAGTATATTTAAACATTCTCTGGGAAAAGCTAATCAAAAAATAATAACGTATCTATATTTTTTTTTGTCTTCCCCAGTGGATGTACATCGTTCCTCTCGTTCTCTTCTTGATGATGTCAGGCGCTCAGGACCAATCAGGAGGAGGAGCAGGTGGAGGAGCAGCCAATGGTGGCGGTCGATGATCCCAGAGATTCATCAATAAGTGCTTCTGTTGAACAGTTTTAACTGCTGTACATAATGCTGTTTCAGTGATAACTGTACAGTGAAGGAAGATATTGTGCCCTGCAGACGACTGCATTTTTAATACTAATGTGAAAATAAAGTATTTATTAACATGACTACTTTGAATTTTTTTTTTTTTTTTTAATTTCCGGTCATTTCATCCGCCATGTTTTCGATGTTAATTATTGAGCTATTTTTAGTTCTTTGAGTTATAAGCACTTGGGTCTGGACCAAATAGATGCCTGGGCATCATCATGTGAGAGCTACTGCTGTTCATAATGATAGCACTTCCTCTCAAGGGACAGTTCAATTTCAGCCACACTGACACATGAACATTAACTCTGAGGACCCAACACGACGATGTTCCGTGCTGGCTATTCTTACTTATGAGGTAAACCAGAACCACATCTCTTTCACTTTGTAACATTTGCACTGCTGTCCCTAAGGTATTTCATCTTCATCTCTCAAGTCTTTCTATGGATTGACCTTGTGGTTCACTGGAATATTTGAAGGGCATTATGGATATTTTAGGACAGTTATATCCATGTGTTCCTATCTGTGTATGGGCTTACCCTTCATGTTGATATATTTTGAGCTGTTGACATTTTGGCCTCACTTGTTTCTCTTTTGGAACGTTTTAGCTAGTTTAGTGATAAATATAGTTATTTCAATCAAAAGTGTAGTTTTAAATACCTAAAATCCTGCTTCTCAAATGGCAGAACAGACCTCCTTCAAACACGCATAATCTTTACATTAATCAGTTCTCTTGGTGCTTAGTAAAAAGTATCTACCAATGATGTTCTGGCGAAAAAAGAAAAAAAAAGACGAGGTCTGATACAATTTTTAAATAACATCAGTTATTGGTATGTGTTTCAGGCCAGTTTTTATTTGTGACTTATCCAAATGATTTAATTATGCTTGATCCATATAGCTGGTGAATTGTCACAGATTAATTATTGCAGGTAATGAGGTCCTTCAACAGCCCTAGTTTGACGTGTTTAAGTCTAGCTGATTTTATTAAGATTTAACAAAGCTATATTTACTATATTTGTTAATAGTCTGAGGTCTCGACTTATATCGGATCATGTACATGTTCAGTTTATACAGTACAGCAGTGATTGTTAAACATAGGGCCGGTGTTCAAAGTTGGCCCACCAGTACCACTTAGAGGCCTGCAAGAAAATCTTAAGTATTGCACCTCTGGGTCGCAAGGACTGTGGTACTATATACAGTAGGTTATCAACTGAAGACACTGGTAGAGCTCATTTCCACCCTATGTCAATTTTATTTACAGTTTATTTAATTAAATTAAGATATTATATTTT